CATCAGCAAGCAAGATCTGTGGAAACGAACGAGACAGCAGCCTATAGAAATTGGCATCTTTCAAAGACGCTGGAAGTGGATCGGCCACACCCTTTTGAAGTCCTCATCTAACATCACAAAGCAAGCCCTCACCTGGAATCCTCAGGGGAAAAGGAAGAGGAGCCGACCAAGAAACTCGTGGCGCTGTGACCCAGAGGCAGACATGAGGAGAAATGGCTATACGTGGGGAGAACTGCAACGACTGGCCCAGGACCGTGATGACTAGAGGGTGCTTATTGGTGGCCTTTGCCCCATACATGTTCCGAGAGCTTGAGGGAAACTGTGAACTTTGAGGAACAGATAATGTCCAAGGGCAAATGTCCGAGCATAGTTTCGCGCCAAATGGAGGCTACTGTGTTGATTATCCTTCAAATATTTTTTTACAGCATGCGCAGTTTTGAAAATTGAGGAATATCAGTCACGTGTCGTGTTTAGACCAATCGCTCGCGAGCGAAAATATTGGATGGAGTACATGAAATGAATATTATCATGATCAAGCCAACAAAGACAATCGATTTCGGAGAGTTTTTGCGTCACTCACTAGTACACACTGTCCAAGCATTTCACATCTGATGAGGGAAAGTGTCAACCTTTTTTCAACTACTAATAACTCGTGTCAGAGGAAGCGTCAGTCAAATGAAACCAGACTTAAGTGCTTTACAGGTATCTTCGCTTTCCTTGCTCGCGGCTTTCGTTGTTCGAGCTCTCCATGAAACAAAATAAGGAGTAAACGAATTGAAAAAGGTGCCGATAAAATATTAAAATTTAGATTAAAATAAATAGAATGCTCAAAGCTGCAAGGCTAAGGGAGTTGAGGGAACGGTAATGATGTGTATTTTCACGCCATCAAGAGCTCATTTCACATTATGAAGGCTTGTTCTCACAGCAGGTGCAGTACACTTAGGCTCGTCCACACTACGTATAGCCGGAGAAAATAGAAAACGGCGTTCCTAAGCAAAACAAAATGCTTTCGATTCATTCAAACTGTTTGCAATTATGTGAAATTAGCGAAATCAGTTAAATTTTTTAAAACTCAACATGTAGACAGCCGATGGAATTGATGAAAACAAAACTCAGGGGATAGCTTATGAATTTTAAATGGCGGAGCAAACTTTACGACCAATGCCAACTGTCAGAAAAACAGACAGCTTAAAACAGCTATGACTAGAAAGTAGCTATTTGCGGTCCTAAGTCTTGACGTAGAATTAATTATTTATGTTCAAATGTAACCCACTCAGTGAATAATGTATGTGAATACCTCACGCAAAGTTTACCGTTCCTTAGCACCTGTGTATATCGAGTAGTACATGCGAAAACGACTTTCCACCGTTTCTTATCAAAGCAAGGCCTAAAAAATGATCTTTTCATTTAGAATGCCCCCAGTCGTTAACAATAAAAGATTTACAGTGACATGTTGTACAGTTATTGTAAAAATGAATCTATGCAAACTGAGTGTGTCTAATTTTCAAATGCGTGTGGTGTTCTATTTTTTGGTAATGATGCTTATTTGCCTTCAAGGACAGGTGAATACCGATGTCAAGAAAATCTTGAGTCCTTGGGACACAGGACGTATTGAGACCGTTACACAAAATTTTCAATGTATTTTGCTAAAATATTAAAGCCTCTAAAGAGCACCACTTACGTGAAGGAGAAGGGTTGTCGGACAATACTTTTTGGTTAATTAATCACCGACAAATTGTTTTTATTTTATTTTCACTCGGACGCGAACTGTTGATTGATTTATCGTGCCACTTGGGACAGCGAGATAAATTTGCATACGACGTGAAGACAGTTTAAATAAACATAAATTAAAACAAACGAATCAACTGAACGCCAGAGAATGACTGATAAACACTGCTGAGTTACTGAGGATTTCATTACGAGCACTCAGATCCGCCAAGTTAGGTGAATATGTCTTCAACAGCCGGCCTTGTGCTACTCGTTATCACCGCGCTGTTTCTACTTCCTGCAAAAGGACGACAAGTTTTGACACTGGGTAAGCGAGTGAGCATTATTAACAACCTTTCGAAATAATTGTTTTAAAATTTAACTGTCTGAAGACACAGCATTTGAGTAGCTTTGTCAGCCGAGAGCTAACAAAAAGTATGTTTCATTTCCAGGCGCTATTTTCTCCAAGAATAGCACAGACCTCGATGAGAAAATTTTCAAGTTCGCCATAAGCTCCATCAACAAGCAGAACTTTCTTTCGAACATAACTCTAAATTATTCGGTGAAGTATGCTGCGCTGGACAATTCGTTTGAGAATATTTATAGTGGTAAGTATAACACCAGGTTCACACCTTTGCAGATGGCTCTATCTGCTATGCAGCTCTATGAGAAAATCAAATTTGACGCTAAGCCATTTACTAATCTTGCAGTGAGTTTCTCATATCTAAGTATATTTTTATACTTCTTGCTATATTTCCTTGATATTTTCTCGTTCAGTGAAATAAGCGTTCATCGACATCTATTTTTGTTGATATTTGTTTATCAGAGAGGTCCACATAGCCTGCGTTGATTGGAAGCCGGTTCACACTAAGTTGGATATCGGGGCATTTCACAGCGCGAAAACGACATCATTTGAAAGCGCGCTCTCTGACTGCAGGACTAGGGCAAGAATGTTACACAGGGATTTAAAAAATAAAACAGATACTTCAAATTTCGTAATGAAATATCAGTACGAATTAATATGTTCTAATTATTTAAAGTACAAGGAAGACTGAAGCAATTAATTGACAGGTATTTATCTAAAGATCTATTTGAATGCGTGTGGGAGTTAACGGAAATTTGAATATTTCAAATTTTGACGATGATTGTATTTAAGTTGAATAGGAAGGTTCTGCATGGCTGGTGGTAAGAAAGCGACAACGTTTGCTTAAATTCAGCTGACGGGCAATCTTGAATGTGACCCGCTATTTCAGTGATAATTAAATGTAATGAAAGAATTAAACTGGCGATCGCAGCGTGAGTGTAGCTTTTATTTCTTTAGATAGTTATTCCCGTTTTGCTTTTCATATCCTTGTAATTAATAGCGCGTTAGAAGAGAGGGCTTCTTGCTTGTGAAGGCTTGCCCAACGAGTAATCAACTGATAGCAAAAAAGCAAGCTGTACCGACAGTTACTCAGCATGTGCCAACATAACGCTTCTCGTTCGCATTATTATTATTATTATTATTATTATTATTAAAGAAAATGGTTAAATATGAAATATCTAAAAAATCCCAGTAGACCATTTAACAGTTGTCTACTTGGTGACCTGGCCTTTGAATGGCAGCGAGGCTGGAGGTGACCTTGTTTTGAAACAGTCCTCTCTGCGTTTGTTGTGTAAATCAAGTTGTTCTAATGCTAACTAAGTGCATTTACATGACAAAAGCAGTGAGGTCTGTATCAAAGCAAGGTCAACTCTAGCCTTGCTGCCACTCAAAGGCCAGGTCACCGGGCAGACAACTGTAAAATGGTCTATTGGTTCAAAGTTCTAAAAATCAGGTATGCTAACAATTATAACTCCGCTGTCGTTGAGCAGCGGTCGTTTCATCCAACCGCTGACCATAGTGCCAGCGAGCTCTGGGCTCGAGGTTGCCCAGCCCAGGAAATTGCCCAGAATAGCATTCGCGCGAGCTCTCGCACGTGTTTCTTGCGCTTACCAGTTCGCCCGTGTCACCCGAAGCATGCTAAAGGTGAGTCTTGGTNAGGACCGTGATGACTAGAGGGTGCTTATTGGTGGCCTTTGCCCCATACATGTTCCGAGAGCTTGAGGGAAACTGTGAACTTTGAGGAACAGATAATGTCCAAGGGCAAATGTCCGAGCATAGTTTCGCGCCAAATGGAGGCTACTGTGTTGATTATCCTTCAAATATTTTTTTACAGCATGCGCAGTTTTGAAAATTGAGGAATATCAGTCACGTGTCGTGTTTAGACCAATCGCTCGCGAGCGAAAATATTGGATGGAGTACATGAAATGAATATTATCATGATCAAGCCAACAAAGACAATCGATTTCGGAGAGTTTTTGCGTCACTCACTAGTACACACTGTCCAAGCATTTCACATCTGATGAGGGAAAGTGTCAACCTTTTTTCAACTACTAATAACTCGTGTCAGAGGAAGCGTCAGTCAAATGAAACCAGACTTAAGTGCTTTACAGGTATCTTCGCTTTCCTTGCTCGCGGCTTTCGTTGTTCGAGCTCTCCATGAAACAAAATAAGGAGTAAACGAATTGAAAAAGGTGCCGATAAAATATTAAAATTTAGATTAAAATAAATAGAATGCTCAAAGCTGCAAGGCTAAGGGAGTTGAGGGAACGGTAATGATGTGTATTTTCACGCCATCAAGAGCTCATTTCACATTATGAAGGCTTGTTCTCACAGCAGGTGCAGTACACTTAGGCTCGTCCACACTACGTATAGCCGGAGAAAATAGAAAACGGCGTTCCTAAGCAAAACAAAATGCTTTCGATTCATTCAAACTGTTTGCAATTATGTGAAATTAGCGAAATCAGTTAAATTTTTTAAAACTCAACATGTAGACAGCCGATGGAATTGATGAAAACAAAACTCAGGGGATAGCTTATGAATTTTAAATGGCGGAGCAAACTTTACGACCAATGCCAACTGTCAGAAAAACAGACAGCTTAAAACAGCTATGACTAGAAAGTAGCTATTTGCGGTCCTAAGTCTTGACGTAGAATTAATTATTTATGTTCAAATGTAACCCACTCAGTGAATAATGTATGTGAATACCTCACGCAAAGTTTACCGTTCCTTAGCACCTGTGTATATCGAGTAGTACATGCGAAAACGACTTTCCACCGTTTCTTATCAAAGCAAGGCCTAAAAAATGATCTTTTCATTTAGAATGCCCCCAGTCGTTAACAATAAAAGATTTACAGTGACATGTTGTACAGTTATTGTAAAAATGAATCTATGCAAACTGAGTGTGTCTAATTTTCAAATGCGTGTGGTGTTCTATTTTTTGGTAATGATGCTTATTTGCCTTCAAGGACAGGTGAATACCGATGTCAAGAAAATCTTGAGTCCTTGGGACACAGGACGTATTGAGACCGTTACACAAAATTTTCAATGTATTTTGCTAAAATATTAAAGCCTCTAAAGAGCACCACTTACGTGAAGGAGAAGGGTTGTCGGACAATACTTTTTGGTTAATTAATCACCGACAAATTGTTTTTATTTTATTTTCACTCGGACGCGAACTGTTGATTGATTTATCGTGCCACTTGGGACAGCGAGATAAATTTGCATACGACGTGAAGACAGTTTAAATAAACATAAATTAAAACAAACGAATCAACTGAACGCCAGAGAATGACTGATAAACACTGCTGAGTTACTGAGGATTTCATTACGAGCACTCAGATCCGCCAAGTTAGGTGAATATGTCTTCAACAGCCGGCCTTGTGCTACTCGTTATCACCGCGCTGTTTCTACTTCCTGCAAAAGGACGACAAGTTTTGACACTGGGTAAGCGAGTGAGCATTATTAACAACCTTTCGAAATAATTGTTTTAAAATTTAACTGTCTGAAGACACAGCATTTGAGTAGCTTTGTCAGCCGAGAGCTAACAAAAAGTATGTTTCATTTCCAGGCGCTATTTTCTCCAAGAATAGCACAGACCTCGATGAGAAAATTTTCAAGTTCGCCATAAGCTCCATCAACAAGCAGAACTTTCTTTCGAACATAACTCTAAATTATTCGGTGAAGTATGCTGCGCTGGACAATTCGTTTGAGAATATTTATAGTGGTAAGTATAACACCAGGTTCACACCTTTGCAGATGGCTCTATCTGCTATGCAGCTCTATGAGAAAATCAAATTTGACGCTAAGCCATTTACTAATCTTGCAGTGAGTTTCTCATATCTAAGTATATTTTTATACTTCTTACTATATTTCCTTGATATTTTCTCGTTCAGTGAAATAAGCGTTCATCGACATCTATTTTTGTTGATATTTGTTTATCAGAGAGGTCCACATAGCCTGCGTTGATTGGAAGCCGGTTCACACTAAGTTGGATATCGGGGCATTTCACAGCGCGAAAACGACATCATTTGAAAGCGCGCTCTCTGACTGCAGGACTAGGGCAAGAATGTTACACAGGGATTTAAAAAATAAAACAGATACTTCAAATTTCGTAATGAAATATCAGTACGAATTAATATGTTCTAATTATTTAAAGTACAAGGAAGACTGAAGCAATTAATTGACAGGTATTTATCTAAAGATCTATTTGAATGCGTGTGGGAGTTAACGGAAATTTGAATATTTCAAATTTTGACGATGATTGTATTTAAGTTGAATAGGAAGGTTCTGCATGGCTGGTGGTAAGAAAGCGACAACGTTTGCTTAAATTCAGCTGACGGGCAATCTTGAATGTGACCCGCTATTTCAGTGATAATTAAATGTAATGAAAGAATTAAACTGGCGATCGCAGCGTGAGTGTAGCTTTTATTTCTTTAGATAGTTATTCCCGTTTTGCTTTTCATATCCTTGTAATTAATAGCGCGTTAGAAGAGAGGGCTTCTTGCTTGTGAAGGCTTGCCCAACGAGTAATCAACTGATAGCAAAAAAGCAAGCTGTACCGACAGTTACTCAGCATGTGCCAACATAACGCTTCTCGTTCGCATTATTATTATTATTATTATTATTATTATTAAAGAAAATGGTTAAATATGAAATATCTAAAAAATCCCAGTAGACCATTTAACAGTTGTCTACTTGGTGACCTGGCCTTTGAATGGCAGCGAGGCTGGAGGTGACCTTGTTTTGAAACAGTCCTCTCTGCGTTTGTTGTGTAAATCAAGTTGTTCTAATGCTAACTAAGTGCATTTACATGACAAAAGCAGTGAGGTCTGTATCAAAGCAAGGTCAACTCTAGCCTTGCTGCCACTCAAAGGCCAGGTCACCGGGCAGACAACTGTAAAATGGTCTATTGGTTCAAAGTTCTAAAAATCAGGTATGCTAACAATTATAACTCCGCTGTCGTTGAGCAGCGGTCGTTTCATCCAACCGCTGACCATAGTGCCAGCGAGCTCTGGGCTCGAGGTTGCCCAGCCCAGGAAATTGCCCAGAATAGCATTCGCGCGAGCTCTCGCACGTGTTTCTTGCGCTTACCAGTTCGCCCGTGTCACCCGAAGCATGCTAAAGGTGAGTCTTGGTGTTGCCAGGCAAAAGCGGGTGAAAAATTGGTCTTCCCAGTTTCGCGCATGTTCTACTTGTATATTATGTATGTGCCCTGACTTGTGCCTTGTGACGGTCAAAATTATATACGTTGGCTTACTACCTAGCGCTACTCTACCTTCAAAGGCAGTGACTTCCCATCCAGGTTCACCCTGTGGAGGTCCCTGAGTTAACTTTGTGATTTCTTAGTTGCCCGCTATTTATAAAGAATTCTATGACAGTTTCTCCCGCAAGGAGTACCTCAGTATAGGGATTGACTCGCCAACCAGGGACAAATGAGCTTTATATGAACGGGATATCGCGCAGTTTTCCTGGCTGCGTTATAACGTATATTGCTTGTTTCATCTAGCCAATCAACTCATCTCCGAGGGTGTGATAGCAATCATCGGTCCCAGGACTTCAACGGCTGTAAAAGCCATGCACTCGCTATGTTCCAAGTTCCGCATTCCTCAGATCAGCGCCTCTGCCACAGACCCAGAGTTCTTTTACAATAAGAAGCGCTATCAGTACTTACTACGCATGTCTCCGTCTGATTTGAAAATGAGCTCTGCCATGAAGGATCTGATTAAACATTTCAAATGGGAGAGGATGGGCATTTTGACATCAGCCACGGTTTATGGTAAGACACTGTACACACAAATGTGTTAATTGGTTAATTGTGTGACTTAATAAAATTGTGATTTCTTACGTAGAGGCGTGTTGTTTACAATTCAACAATTAGTATCAAAGAGGTTATATACATGTTTAGTATATACCACACAAGTGAATAGTGCTTTTTGCGCGCTCTGATTTGTTAACTCCGAGGTGATTAGCAAGTACTATTCACCTCCGAGCGGCCGGTGCGAGAGATTTTAAAATTTCCGACCGCATGTCATACATAAAATAAAGTTTTGGTCCGCTAATTATTCAGCTTGTGTGGTATATACTAAAACAATTATTTACCTCAGTGTCGGTGAAAGTGATGGATATTTAACTCGCCGCTTCGCGGCTCGGTAAATATCCACCACTATTCACCTCCACTTCGGTGAATAATTGTTAAATGTCTTAAATATATATATAAATTCTTTTTTTGAGTAGAACGTATTTCGTAGAGCGCTCAACTCAATCGACTGAGGAGCTTCAACTATAACTTCACAGAAGTTCAGGTTAAGTTCCTTTGCATTTTTGTAGCGTTCCAACTTAGCAAGTACATATGGGGTCTAAAGGAATGGAATATCAATCATCAAATTAGTGAAGAAAAGTAAAGCAAGCTATATCGTATTCAAAGGTCAACAAAAAACAGGGGCACCCAACGGATCGTTTCGGTAAATTATCTGTTCGGAAGGCCTTTAATCCCATCTGATTTTCTTGAGAGAATTGGCACCTCGAACTTTCGTGATATGAGAAATTTAATGTCTGTTGTTTTCGGACTGTTGAAAATGTCGTTTTGAGTACCG